CACTCACGACTTAGACACATAGAGGCTTCAAACACATTTTCAGAGTAAGGGATAAAAGGTTGGAGCAGGAAAGAGAGAGGAAAAGGGAAGGAAATTATGATGGGAAAAGCTCTGGGAACAAGAGACAGGGCAAAAGAGGAATGGAAAAGAAACTGAAACAGAGGAGAGAATGAAGGTTGATGAGAGGAAATGAGCGACTGGGGAGTATTGCATATGGAGACATTTCAAGGAAGCAATGGCGAGAGATGTTAAGGGTGGAAAAACACAGAAGGACAAGTGCGAGAGTTTGCACTTGCACTGTGAGCGAGCGAGAGCTGCGTTAAAGGTGGTGGGCTGAGAGATGAGAGGCCGAGAGAAAGACAAAAAGAGACAGGACAAAGCAGCAGCAGCGTTTCATGGAGAGCTGGAAACAGAGGGCGGGCGGACAGGCGGGTGGGCGAACGAGCGAGCCAGAGGGGAACGAAGAGAGTGAGGTGGGGGCGGGGCTTGCGAGCAGTCATAGCCAGTTAGAGGCTGGCGTGGTGCTCTGCAGGGTGAATCTTACCCTGGCAACACAATAGAGCGAGAGAGCGAGAGGGAAAGTGGGAGAGAGGGAGACAGCGGACAGGTGAACAGATGGCTGACTGAGAGACAAGCTGATCAGTGCACAACAGAGGGGTGTGTGTGAGCGAAAGAGAGAATGTGAATGTAATGCAATGTAACACAAAATGTTCAGTCTGAGAGAGAGTGGGAAAACAAACAAAGAAAGTGAGAGAGAGTGAGAGAGGGGGAAAGATGCCCATGTTTACACTGTAATGTTCACAAAATATCAGTGGAGTTTACATGAGAGAAAGACAGAGAGGCAAGCCTGTGATGTCCAAAAAATATCAAGTGTGTGTGAAAGCAAGTAGAGACAGTGTGAGAAGGAAGCCTACTGTACGTCTGTTTGCATCCATATGTCAGTGTATCCATTAGGATTGTTGCTTTTTATATGAATTTGAAAGTGTCAGATGGAGAGGAAACAAAGGAATATTTGACCAGTGGTAATCCGTTCAGATTTTTGATTTATGGGTCGGGCGTTTTGTACTTCAGTGGAACTGAAATGCAGTGTCATTCTGACCTTATTCCATGGCCTGCTTCTTTGGCAGAAAATAGAGTAAGCTAGCAATCTCAGTGGATAATTACGGCCTCAAATTAGGAAAAGCAATAAGCAGAAGCATTTAGACTTCAGTACTACGTGCTGAAGAAGTTACAGATGAAGGTAAGTTTGTATGCCAACTAACTGGTGAATCTATTGCCACGATGGCATAAAGACAATGAAAATGAATGAACACTGTCCTTATTGGAAGCATTAGTGGAAGCATTGTAAGAAATGTTTTTATTGTCCTTTGGGGGAAATGATGTTTGTGTCAGAGTTAATAACACATGGCGCCTTAATAGCATATGCATGATAGCTGCATCTTTATGACAAATAATGCCAGATTTAATCAAGTACAGAAATTCAAATGAATCACACTTAAAATGGGACGATTTTAAGAAGATCGAGGGCATTTAGGGAATTTTGTCCAAACCCCAAAGACAGTTGCATGTTTGGTCTTATTGTCATTATTTTTGTTCTTATTATTTAAAAAAAAAAAAAAAAAGTATATGATCACCAAATCCATTTGTATTTTGGCCCTGTTCATCATATCAACTCTAATGAGGACTGATATTTGACGACGTTTTGGTCGCAGATCTATGAAAGTAGGATCAAGGTTTAATTGAACTAAAGCTTAAATTGAAGGAGATTAATTTTTTGGTTGGTGTAACCATCTACCTTTAAATTAGGCTTAGGAAATGCAAAACTGGAACTTTGTCTCTCCTCACAAGTATCAAAGTACAAATGTGTGTCACTACATGTGAACAGTGCACCAACATGGCTCCAGTGTCATCACAGTTTTGTTTGCAGGCTCTTTATCTCTTTGTGTCCTGACAGTCAGGGCAGGAGGTCCACGCTTCTATCACGTCCTCCACACAGCCCTCTGTCACATGCCGTCATTTTCAAGTTGAAAGTTGTTCTATTTTTATTTATTTTATGTAGTTCTTTTATTCTCTCAATTTTTAGGTCAGTGCGCACACACATCTGCCTCAGCAGAGTGTGTTTTCTATGAACTGTGCACAACAAAGCGCATGGTGGCTGCTCCTGTGTGTGAAATTTACATTAAGCTGCAGATCAGAGCACTTACTTGTTCTGGTGAGAGTTAACAGCTGAATCAGGAGACTGTCTCCATGTTGGAACAAATCTTTCTAATAACCCGTTTCTGTGGGTAGATAAAAAAGCAGCTTTGACACTGCGATAATAATAATGGCTTTGGTTTTTAATGAGATTCATATCAAAGAGCAGTATTGTTATTAACACTGAAAGTCTTTTTACCCTTACATCCAAATGGCATCATTACCCTCTTGCCCTCACCTGTTTTTAGGATTTCAGGCTAATACATCAAAAATGAAAAGAATCTCTGTCTCTTCCTCCTCGGGGTTTAGTCTGGAGCTCTCGATACAACGACTTCCCGCCAGCTTCACTTTAGAGGCTGAATTGCATGCAGTTGAATCATTCTCACTTAACAATGATTGTGTGCTGTGCACTCATGTAACACATGGTTAGGTTTTAATCAGACCGCCACTAGACTATAGTCGCACCTGACACGGCAAGTGCTTGTTAATTAAAGAAAGTAAAGGGTGCATGAGATATTGAATATAATATCTGTTGGGTGATACATGTAACAGTGCCCTGCATTATATGTTGTGTGTAATTGAATGTCAAAAGATGCCAGTGGTTTTATTTGTTTTACATACTGAACTACAAATTAGGTAGACTACATGTTTTTGTTCAACCCCCAAATTACACTTACATATGAAAAAGGACTGTTTCACAATACTGTGGAAAAACTATGCCCAACCCTATGATTCAGTAGCTTGTAGAGCCATTCCTAACAGCAGTAACTTGAAGTAATCACTTTCCGTGTGACTATGATTCTCTCACATCGTTGTGGAGGAATTCTGGCCCACTCTTCTTTCCAGTGTTCCTTGGGTTCATTCAGGTACGAAGGCATTTGTTTATTCACACCTTTCAATGAGGTTCCATCACAGCATTTCAGTGAGCTTGAGGTCTGGTTTTACTGCACCATCGAGACACCAGATTTGCTGGTGTACTTGGAATCATTGTTCTGTTGCATGACCCAGTTCTAGCTGTTTAATCATAGTCGACTCAATCACTGAAAAATGCCCTGGTCCCATATCTGCAGAACAAGCCAGAATCATCACTGTTAGTATTTGCTCTGTGTTCATATGCTGTGTTTGGTTTTCTACAAATGTGGTGCAATTTGGCCAAACATCTCCACACCTAAGTAGTTTTCTCCCAGCAGCCCTTCAAAACCAACCATAATCATTCAGTGTCTTTGTAATTGTAAAGTCGTGACTTTGGCCTGTAGACTCTGAGATGTAGCTCTTGTTGTTCTCTGTGCTTTCCACGGTCTCACTTTGGGGGGAATTCGCTGGGATGCTCACATCTGTATGCCTGCTTTTATAGAGGTGCTCACACTTGCTGATGATCATCTAATCAAGCACATATGATTAGCAGCACCTTAATCTCATAATACCAATGGAAGCAATAAGAGCTTACTTAGTTTTTCACTTTTTTCACATGACTGCACATTACAGTTAATACTAGAAACTAGATTTACGAGCTTTTAAAGAAATTCTTTTCCTGTGATTGCTTGTTCATTAAACAGCCACTTTCCTATGACTTAATGATGCTTCTTTTTTGTAAGACACTGAAGGTCATTTGATAATTCTTGAAATCAGTTGATTTCTACAGAGTGCTGCTTAAAATATAGTGCTTCGCAGACAGATGCCCCCTCCCCTCCCCTCCTTTTTCTTTTTTCTTTTTTTTAATTTTTATTCAATAAAAAAATGTTTTGGATGGAATGACTTGCTGGAGTGAGAACTAGAGTCTTTTTTCTTCTTTTCTTTTTTTTGGCCATGGTTATAGTCTATTTTTCCTTTGGGATAGATTTCAAGGCGAGGGATTTCTTTCTTTTCGCACCACTCAAGGCTAAAGCTTGTATTTGGACCACAGTAGGATCTCCAGCTCCAGTTTAAGATCCATTTTGCTACGAGGATCTCTCTGCTTGGCTCTGTGGTCAAGGGCCCACCAGGCAAAGCTACTTAACAGCAAATCTTGTTTAGCACAATCCTCTCAAAATAAGAGCCTCTTTATCTCCCTCTCTCGCCCGTCGGTCTCCCTCTTCCATTTCTCGCCCTTTCCAAAGTGTGCGAACACTGACGCAACCTGTCTGCCGTTAGCTGAAGTGCTAATACCAGCACATGCTTCCTAGCTCACCCTTTACCCTTTTGCTTTACTTTACCACATTCCTCAGTGCAAAGCTTCACACCAATTACTAACACTGTTGATTAGCCAACGTGTGCACAAGTGTGATGCGTCGCTGTATCTTCTGACATGCACATAGTTTATTGGCCTTGTTCTCTCAGACCACATCCTCCGATTTGAAAGCTTTCTGCGGTTGGAATAAGACTCAGTAGTTTTTCAGCCCTTTAAACCATAACTTCCTGAGTGCACCTGCTGGATAAGCAAGTACAGTTTCTTCCTTAATAACTTGCTTTCAGGTGGGTGGCAGATGTTACGAACTTTGACCTCACAAATCGACAGAGGATTTTCAAAGGTTGAAGTTGAGAATGTGTGTTCTGTAAGGCAGCTTTTCTGCTCACAGAAGGTGCTGCAAGGAAAAAAAGACAAACTCTTTTTATGTCATCATCAGGGTCAAATTGTTCCATCTGACCTTAGCTGGCTCATGTTTATACAATGAATAGCGTAGGAGTCAGCACATTTTATGCAATCAAGATGTTCATTTGTGTTTGAGAAATGAAAATCTTTCACTGTGTGCTAATTTCAATATGTGCATGGAAAAATGAAATGTAAATGTGCTTCCTTCTCCTCCTCTACCCCTCTTTAACCGCTTCAGACGTTGCGAAAGAAAGGCTTTAACGGTTGCAACAGCCCTGAGCCCGACGGCGACGACTCCATCGACCAAAGCCCGCTAAATGACCGCAAGACCGAGGACCTGGACAGCCTCTTCAAGCGCTACGGCGTGAGTACAATCACATTTTTGTCACCTTATCTAACCTACCCTTTTCTTCTTCTCCCTTTTTTCTCTACTTTCCTCTCTCTCTCTTTCTCTCTCTCTCTTTCTCTCTCCCTGTCTGCCTTCTCTTCTTTTGTTTGGGGATCGAAGGCTCTGAACAAGAAAGAGCACCGGGACTCTGAGAGCCCAGACCCCGAGGAGCCCTTCTCCCTCACCCCCCGCACTGAAGAGAAATACAAAAAAATTGACGAGGAGTTTGATAAAATGATGCAGAACTATAGGCTGTCAGTGAGTACCTCCCACCACTCTGCGTAACCCTGCCCCCTCTTCATGTTGGTACCTTGCTGCTGCCGCTGACCGGACAACCGGAGATTTCCGGCTGCTGATGGTGGCCTGACTACTCACAGAGCACTCGCCTTCACCATTCCCCACTCCTTTACCTTCTCTACTTCACCGCTTACCAATAGCACCTATCCCCATCCCCCAAATCACTACCCACAACCACCCCACCCCACTGATGGTGTGTGCTTCAGCAAGAAATAAGAGCAGCCAAGTTCATAAGGGAAGCCTCTTAAAAGTAAAATTTTAACTAATGTTCACATTCATCATTAATTAATGGAATGGTATTATTTTTTTGTAAGAAAGCCTAAAGTTGTGTTTCCAATGTTGTTTGGTCTTTTCAACAACCAACACGAATATAATAACTTTAAAGTAACATAGCTCAGATAGACATAATTTATGGGGTACATGGAGATTCGTTTTCTGCAGTTAAATTTCCTAGGACTCATAAAAAAGACAAATAATATTCTTTTTTTGCTGTTTTGTTTTGTTTTTTGCAGCGCTGCGCATGTGTAAGACAGAAAGTGATCCTTAAAAAAGCAGCATGACACCAAATAGGGCATGCTAACTGTGATTATTCATCTGAAGTTACAGTCATCACAGTGAAGCACATTCTCAGGAGTATTATGGCTTTTAATACAATGTTTCTGATGCCTCTGCAAGTTCGCAAACGTACAAGAATAAACAACAGAGGGAGAGGAGCGATAACTAGGTCCCTGGTTCTCACAAAAGTTGGCATAGCAACTAATATTGCAAGGGGAAATCATGTTTTATGGTAATAATCAACACGTTTGAAGCATGCCTTCGAGCAGTCAGATTTTTTTTTTTTTTTGACTGAATGCACCAATTGTGTAATACTTAGCAACATTAAAGAAAGAGCGTTGCAATTTCAGATAGTCTGTATCCACCAGGGCTGTGTCTGTTTCTCAGATAACACATAGAAAGCCAGAGTGCAGTTGATAACCGGCTGTTATTAGCAGCATTACTGAGGTCACTTTAGTCCCAGTGTAGTCCTGTTCCTCCGATGGGCTCCTGACATTATCCAGGTTCTGCCTCCTGACTGGCGCTCTGCCAATCCCCTTTTACCGCTCTACTTCTTTGCCAATTTCTCTGTGATTCATTTTTTCCTCTCTGCTCAATAATGCCATTAATGTCACTTTAATGACTAGCACTTAATTTACAGCTCCTCTTCCTGTCTGCCGGCCCCCTGATTGGTCGCTTGGGATGGGACACAGTCACTTTGAGGTTCTGCAGAATAGTTAGGCAGTAGTTGTTTACTACAGTCACACCTTTGGTGTTACACCTTTATGGAGGGTGGAGGCGTTTTTCTTTTTTCTTATTGTTGTTCTTTACTGTATTAGGCTTGTTTTGTGGTATGCATGACTAGTCTCATAATCATGCTGTAATTGTAATTGTAATTGTTCATATGTTTATGAAAATAGGACTGTGAAAAGCAATATAATTATGAACAATGTATAATGCTACATATCTAGTTTACAGCTAGAGCGATGGAAAGACTATGCCTTCGCCTGGTTTTCAGTTTAAAGGCTTGAAACACACTATTTGTTAAATTAAAAGCAGTTTTATGGACAAAACTAGTATAAAAAACACACTGGTGGTTTGGAGGGAAGAAAAGGCTTTCTTCAAAATGACATCAAGTGCTAATGTTAATATTAATTTACTAAAATCTCACATACATCAGAGCATAATGGAGAAAATGAGCTGCCTCTCAGATTAATCAGCTCAGTGAATCTCTCCCCTCCTGATATCCACCCTGCCTCCATCAGCCTCTCTGTGCTGTGTGAGACAAATAGCTCTAAAAAGACTTTCTCAAAAGAGAAAACCACAGAAGAAGAAGAAGCGGATTCAATCTACTGCACTTAGAGAGCTACAGCTCTTGGCTCATGCCATTTGTATGCTAGCGTAACGCTGCTAGCAAATGACTCTAGCGACAAGCTGCCCCGACATCACTCTGCCCCTCGGTGTCCCAGTCAGCCTGCCTACCTGTCTGGTTTTCCAGCACACCTTTCACGGTCAACCAGTAATCAGAAACATGCAGCACCACCTGCCACTCCTCCCCTCAGCATCATAATCCCCAGCATGACAGATAGGGGCCGGGATATACAAGCTTAATCCCACTTGTACTCAAATACCTCCCAAGGTAGGAAGAGAGTGGTGAGGGAGAACGGGCAGGACACTTGGCTAAACGAGCCCCCAGCTAACGTATCTTTTCCTGTTAAACTGGCACTGTAGTAGGCAAGAGAAAAGAGCTTTGGGTTTTTGTTTTTTTTCTCCTAACCGGAGGGCCCCTGGTTTGATCCTTTTCTGGCTCTGAGATTCTGGGCCAGGAAATTGAATAAGAAATAGATTTCTGCCTTTTAACAACCACCTCCATGGTGCCTTTCAGCAAGAAGCTGAATGTTTTGTCTCCTGTATAAGCTTGGTATGAATGTCAAGTGAAACATGGTGTTATTGAAACTGCTGCACACTTAATCACATCTAATTTAGTTTTGAGATTAGTTTAGCTTTGAATTTCATGCCATGAAAGCATGAGGACTCTCAGCATCCCTATTAATAGTTTCTGTTAAGAGCTGCAAATAAAACAATTTTCAGTGAGAATCAGATGTTTTGGAGAAGGTGAGCCGCGAGTCATTCAGCCTCTTTTTATTTATTTAGGATCAAATATTGGTGACGTCAGAAAGAAATTAGAGTGAGGGGGGCATAGAACTAAACAACTAAAGCTAATTTACTGGTCAACTGCTGGGACATCTAAAGGTCCGTCAAACACTTTTCCAATGTTGCATCTGTGTTCAGATCTGCAGCCTCTTACAAATACGATGCGACAATCCTACAGTTGAAAAAGGGGAAAAAAGAGAAAACTTTCAAAGGCTTTCAGGACAAGAGGGAGGAAAAGGGAAACTAGGCCATGAGTTTAATTCATTCTGATTTACCCTTGCATCCAGGAAACACACCCTTGTTGAGAGAGCTCCTCCGAGGGAAAATAGGTTAGCCTTCTCTCCCCTCTTTTTGTTCTCTTCACACAGAAGAGGCCTTAAGCTTCCTCACATGAGCCTCTGGAAAAGCTCCTAGTCAATTATTTACCTAACAGGTTCTTGTTATTTTTTTCTATGGTTCCCATCCTCTGTGCTAAATCCACAGGATGAGGAGCAGTACCCAGTTAACCCTCCTCTCTGCAATTAGGAGCAGCAGTGTTAAATGGAGTCAGAGTGGGCAGATGTAAATTCTCTTGTAATTTGCCAAAGACATGGATTAATTCTCAGTGTAGCACAGTGGAGAGCAGGGTCAAGACAAATTTAAAATTCATATTTACAGAATAAATGAAGAGGTTTTGGAGTTATGTCACCAATCTCCTAGCAACCAGAGGCTGATACAGATATGAAGGTCTTGTGGAATGGTGGCGAGCAGCAAACAGTCGATGGCTAAATGTATTACAAAGTACCAATAAAGAGACAGACAGCTGAAGAGGATTGTTTTTTAAGGTATGCATGGTACTCTTGAGTCATTTCTCATTTTTCATATTCAGTCAGGATAATAGGAAGTTGGTACAGAAACATGCAATCACAAGCTTGGAAGGCAATATCTGGTATAACTACTAAACTCTCTTACGCAAGCTTTCTTAGAACTTCTTTAAGTAGTCGTCAGGAATAGTTCTCCAGGTTTCTTGAAGGACATTCAAAGCTCTTCTTTGAATGTTTTCTGCCTTTTGATTTCTGTTAAGATGATCCCACACTGCTTCAGCAGTGTTTAGGTGTTTGGAGGCCAATCCTTGACTTATAGTGTTCTAGTGTACATTGTTCTATTCAGCTAGACGCTTACTGTAGATATATTCTACTGAAAAATAGTGATTTTACCAATCAGATGCTTTCTAGATTGTATTGCATGGTGGGTCATATTTTTTTGTGTTTCTTTAGTTGAAATTAAATCCAGCCCCAAACCATGATATAGTGTCCACCATGTTTTACAGATGGCCGTACATGTAACTAACATACATTTGAAGCAAAGATTTTAAGTTTTGATTCATAAAAGCTGTGGCCACTGATTTTTCAGTCCAGTCCTTGTCTTATTTGCTATACCTCAGCTTTTTATCCCTCTTTTATCCTTTTTTCCCTACATTCAAAATTTTTGGTGAATCACCTTGTTTGTGAAAAAATGCTGTTTTATGCCTGCCAAATATATTACTTTTGAGAATCTTCTGTAGTTCAACTGTTAAATTTGGGAACAAATTATGTTTTTGCAAAAGACTGCTGATAGATGGTTGATTGATACAACACTGGTTCATACCTTGGCTTAACCTTGTGTTTGAATGATTCATAGGTCAGTTTAAAGTGGCTTAAACGATATTTATAATTATTATATTATTATTAAAAATTGACTCTGCTTCTAACGTCTAATTAGATTTTTTCAAATCCTATTTTTCATAATTCCAAATCACCACAAATATACCATCAAGGTCACATTGTCTTCAGTGATATTTTCTGTCCTGAATGCTATTACTTATTGTCAATTTATTTAAAACCACAGTTCCATTATTCCAACTTTAAATCTGTAAATACAGACTGCAGTCCATCTTTCTCTCTCTCTCTAACCGTAGTTTAACTGTAGCTTAGTAAGTTTTAGACTTGATTAATGGGAAAGTAGAGCGTTTCAGGCTCAGGTAAAGGTGACAGTTTGATTGCTTTGTATTCGGTAAAAATGGCCGTCAGCAAAGACTCCAGCTCTGTCCTCTGTTTGTAGTTGTTCTCCCAGTAAGAAAAAATATATAATGAAATCTATTACTGAAAAGAAAAAAAAAAACATTCCCAAGCACTGTAGGGATAAACTCTTTCTGGATCCTTATGCTCTGCGTTCATACACCTCTGGCCCACTTTGGATTAACCCCACCTCTGTCCACCCTTTCCCATTTATCCATGCCCTTCCTTTACCTTCTGCTTGGCCTGTGTGCAGTGGTGCAATGCTGTTAGCCGTTCTCTTCACTCTCCCTGTTAGCCACTTACAGCTCTCTCTGTACAGCCTGCTTTGCAAACTTCCTCTTTGTAGGCTGAAGAGTGAATTTTACATTTCATGTATTTGGAAGATTTAATAAAGATTAGTCATTTTTCAAGGCTAACATAGCAAATAAATTGAAAGGTTTTTTGTGGAACTATAATTTGTTGTTTGTTTTATGAAAAAAGGGCCAGTTTTTACTCTGTTTAGACTTTGTGTGACGAAAAAAAACCCTAATTATAAAATAATGAATAAAGATGATTATTTTTGTTGTTGAGGTTTATATAAAAAGACCACTTTATTAGTTGGGAAAAAGTTGTTTAGTTGTTTGAGGAAAACCTATGATCAAGTAACAATTTTTGAGATTTGACTGAATAAACTAGCACTTGGTTTGGTTTCAGTCCCATAACTCCCTTATTTTCGTGTGATCTCCAATGCAGTGCAGAGGGAAAAGAGGTAGAGATCAAGGGCAGGAAGGTGCCCTCGTCCTCCTTGATATTAAACTGGGTCCCAGGCAGTTTGAGTACAGTACAGTGCAGCGGTGGCCCATATTCTATATATAGAAGTCCTTATTTCAGATTGAGTTGGAACAGGGTGAAATGGGTCGGACTGCTGGACAACCCGAGGTCCTTGCCCCTGATTTTCCTTTTTTTTCTCTCTTTTTTTGCACTCGGGGACGTCTGGTCATACACTTCATCAACTCAGGTGACGAGACTGATCATTTCTTTAAAAAAAAAAAAAGTGCAGTTGATACGTTTTTGAACAGAAAGGTGGACTGTCTTCAGGATTTTTGAGAACAAGAGTAATATTGTAAAGCCCATTTTGGTAGGCAAGCTCCTGCTGAATATTTCCTTAAATCCCCAGTGATGAGCACATGTCAGTGGGGGTGGTGGGATGCTGCTGGAATGTGACAAGCACGCTATGAAATGTCACCAATAACCCGATGCAATAACCTGCTGCTGCTGCGACAAGTTTTAACCTGGCATGAAAAGTGAAAGGCGAGACAGCTTTTTGGCCTTTTCACCAAGTCACCTTGCATGACAACTGAGTGAGTGAGTGTGCGTGTGTCTGCGTGTGGGTGCGTCTGCGTGTGTTTGAGATTTGATGTGTGTGTTTTTGGTTGTTTTGAAGAGTTTTATTTCCAAAACAAAATTGTGTTCTTTTAAAGCACAGTAGAAACAGCAAACATCAGACATGTCTGATACTTTTGAATTGATTTCCTGCCTCAAGAGTGAAGCTTGACAAACAAGCAAAGAATCAAAAAATCTTCACCGTGACAGAATACCAATGCAGTGTAGGTAGATTTCAGTTATTGAGGATCATTTTTAATATCTTACGGGTATGATTTAAAAGTTATTACTAACTGCAAAGTTTTAGATCTGAAACATATGATATGATATTCAGAATTCATGGACTCCTGTTTATTGTTCATTACTTTAGCCATTAAGGCTAATGATGATAAATGATTTCTTTGAAAAACAAAGATCTACTTAAGAAGTTATTTTTGTGTCAGCATTTGAGCTTTTTGAATCTGATTTTCTTTAAACAGGTGAAAATATCTATCAGTGTAGGAAACAAATATTCCCAATGCTAATCAGTTTTTTGCAATTTTTTTTTGTATACTATTTTTATTCTTGTGCACTGACCTGTTTTGGAATACAAAGCTCTAGTTTTGGGAAGAGTGATTTTTTTCCCCCCCTCTGTATTTATTTATTTAATTATTAACTGTTTTTTAACTTTAAAAAGTGGAGACATCAGTCATTATGCAAGGATTAAAAGTTCCTCCTTCGTATGTATATTGGATGTACAATAAAATTTACAATACAAACATTTTTCTTTAATTAAAATCAAATTTTGCAACAGCACTGAAAGCTGCCCAGCAGAGCAAAAGGAGACAGTCTTGAAGAGGAGCCAAATTCAAATCAGATAAAGTGTTTGGGGTAAAAAAAAAAATTCTACTTTTCAAGTAATTCTGAACTACTGAAATAATTCACTACTGTATTATTTCACAACAAATTGCCCTTTAAATGAAAAATATATTTATCAAGGTGAAATAAGCTTGAAAGAATAGCTACAAATTCTTGAAACAATAATTAGCGTGCAAAACAGAAGATGTTCCACTTGCGTTTCTTTTTATGTTGTTGCTTTAAAGTAGGACTCTCCTTTGTTGTGTAACTTTTTAAAGTTTCGTTTTGGGAAGACTCTTCTCATTGTGATCGGTTTTATTGCTGCAGCTGTGTGCGTGCGTGTGCGTGCGTGCGTGTGTGTGCGTGTGTGTGTGTGACCTGCAGGCTTGTTTGCACTGCTGCTGATCACTAACTGATCACCTGTTCATTATTTTTTTTATAATATATAATTATATGTGAGGGTGGATAAACATGGCCACACTCTAATCTTTGCCCTCTTCCTGTCATTCCACCAGTCTACAGTCCCACAGCCCACCTTCTCCATGCCAGTCACCGTGCCAGTATCAAACCAGAACGCAGCGGCAGCGGCGGCCCTTCAGTTCAGTAACAACCCTTCCGGCGCCCTGGTCACCACCACCTCCTTTGTCACCTCCACCCTCACAGATCCCCGGCTCCTTTCCCCACAGCAACCCGCTCTGCAGAGAAACACCGTGTCGCCAGGGTTACCACAGCGGCCAGCCAGTGCAGGTAAGAAACAGCATGAACAAAATAAAATGCTCTGTTTTCTGTGTGGATTGATAATGTGAACTTATAATAATCATCTGAAACATCTTCTCATACATAAACTTCCAATTTTAATACCAGCAGCTGATTGATCGATCAACAGTGTAGGTTTTCAATTTGCAGTTCTAAACATTGATTGGGTTTTGTCAGTGAAGGATCCTCTGATGCTAGGCAACTGATGAATTTTACTTTTTTTGAAAACATCGACAGTTTTGAGATAGACTGAAGAACAAAGAAGACAAACTGACAAAATCTCAAAACTTCTTCAAAAGATAACTAAAGAAAAAAAGCCATTAGACTGCCACCCACACTGCTTGATTGACAAGTATTGGAGAAAACATGGAGACAATATTTAAAAAGAAAATGAACAGACTAGAAATTTCTGGCTACATTAAGTCTTTATAATATGATTTTTTATATATATATATATATATATATATATATATATATATATATATATATATATATATATATATATATATATATATATATATATATATATATATATAATTTTTTTTTTTTTTTTTTTTTTTTTTTTTTTTTTTTTTTTTTTTTACATTTTAAAAAAAACTTTTAAAATCTCATATTTTGTAGTTTTCGGCTGCACCCACTAAAAACCTCTTCTTTTAGTGGCTGCAGCTTGCCACTGTTTCTCAAATGTGTGCATACTTGTACCCCTAATCTAAATAATGCCAGAAATACATCATTCTTAAAATTCTGCAATTCTTTGTTCAGTAAAATGGCCGATAACCATTTGACATTCAGTGTTCCAGCTTTTAATGCAGTTCAGTCGTAACCTTGTGTAACCTTAGAGTTCTGTAAAACCTGACAAGTGTAGTCATGTTCACTGTGAAAGCTCACACAAAGAGATTATCATATTTAATGACAGACAAAAATAAAAAAACTGTTTTTTGAGGGGAAAAATGCAACAAAAGTAACAGTAACTGGAAAACCTTTTGACCACTGCAGCTGCCCCTGTGTCATAGAGTCCAAGTCAGATTGAACCTCTTAGAAAGACTCCGTGCAACCACGGTGTCATTATACATCTTCTTCTTATCGGTGTGGTGCCAGTGCAGTTTCACAACCAGTTTTGCATTGCTGTCTTTGGAAATCAGCCCACATTTTGTCAGGTTTGATAACCGGTCATTATGCATTGTTACTCGAAGAATTTGAGGTGATTTCCATGGGTGTAAAATATGGCATACAGATTCTGTAGGCTGAATCTGCCAGACGTTGATGATTTCCCTTCTCTGCCGATGTTGATGATGGGGCGCGCCGGATTTGTGGTGCGGTGCTTCTGTGGGCTATTTAGTCTTGACAGTGCGAGAAACCAGTCGTACACTGGCACCAACGCCATGTCAGTGGAAAATGTTCTTAGTGTCGTTGCATGATGACAAAAATAGTTTGCCTTGAATTATGTCTTTTTGAACATTTGAAATACAGTTTAGCGGTTTTTATTTATTTTGAAGGGAAACATTATTGAACAAAGAGGTCTTTCAGACATTGCTGATTTCATTAAACAATCACTTAGTCTCAAGGATTTTGAAAAAGGACTTTCAGTAACTACATGACCTGCAAACTGTTGTAAATATGGGTCACGCCACATTGAATGTTAATTAGCAGCATCTGTCAACACTCTGTGTTATGCATATGAGGCTCAAATCCCCGTGTAAACCTGTGGCTGGTGGTTCTCCGTCGATGTTTGGCCTACTTTCCGTACAGTTGATTTTTATCGGTTTTCAAATGTTTCGTTTTGACATTTAATAATTGTATTTTTTTTCCTTTTTCTTTTTCCTTTTTTTTTTTTTTTTTTGCATCCCAAGCAGTCAGTCTGTGGACAAACATGTTATTGTACTGGTTTCTAAATGTCTCTTGTAACTGAAATGATTTGAACCACTTTTAAACTCATGGTTGTCATAGTGATGTAGTTACTTAAAGACCATTTCATAAAGTGCCCTCGGTCTATGCAGAAGCACGGTTTATGTAACAGCAGCGTTTTAATAGAGAATCTTCTGAGTCGACAAGCAGCAAAATGACCAGTGATGTGTTGTGCAGCCTGCATGCTCCATCAGTCTAAATAACTCCTCTGCTTGTTGAAATAAGTGCACACTACCTATAATGACAGACATCCATCATTTCTATGACTGGTTGGCTGGTACACCGTGCGCCCGCTGCCTCTGTGTGGCAAACCAATCCTTCAACCTCTGACTAAAAGGATTCGTGCCCCATTTTTGCGACTCAGACAAGGTTACTTATCAAGCTTTGTTCCGACCAGCGTAATCTCATTGCAAGTCAGAATTAGGTGATGTAACTCGCAACAAATGCATTACAGCATCTTTCATAACATGCCGTTCTCTGAGGCAAGTGGGTTTCACGTAGCAGTAATGGACGCCCCTTTCCTCCCCTCCCCTTACTCCTCATAACCTCAGCAGTGCAAATACATCGCTGTACCCTTTTATGCATCCCACATTATCAGAGTTGCATTGGGTTCATTGTCTTTGCTTATTGGTGTTTTTCCATGTGTCTGTCCAGCCAGATTTTTTTCAGTCACCCCTAATGACCCCAAATTTCTAAAGCGCATTGGAGCCAAAGAACTGAAATTGCACCAACCGAGGGAAAATAAGTGTCAGTGCAGAAAAAATGCTGCCTGCGATGTGAGGAAAAAGCAAGCATAATGTTTGCTAGAATGAAGATAAATGTATGTAGCTGTTGCAGTGTATAAAAATGTCTCGGTTTCCTGTGCTTAGAGACAAAGCACATGAGATTTAATTTTATGACAACAGTGAAATTACTATTTTATGCGTTTTATGCTTTTGGTTATTTGGGAAAAATACTGAAAAACTCTCTCACAAGTTTGTGTTATTACAAACCTGCTTTTTTAAACATTTAGCAGCAACACAGCTTCTTTAATGATATTCACTTTGATGCGATGCGCTGTTGGTGGGGCTAAGCTAAAACAAAACAAAATAAAAAATCAGTTGTCACACATGCACATTTCAGGAGAATCAGAGCAAAGTATTTTCCACAGTTGTCCTTGCTCACATGTGACAGACAGCAGGAAATGGTCGGCTTCAGACACCTTCGCGCTACTGGAAATACTCTGTGTGATTTAGGCGGGAGAGCTGCTTGGATAGAGCGTGCAGGAGGCAGCACATATGATGCTGTGATGTTCGCACATTGGTGTTATCGGACACAGAGCATTTTAAAGACCGGCTTGTGAATCTCTGAAGATAAATCTCTCAAACCTACACTGCAAGGGTAAAATGTGTTTGATGTTTATTTTCCAAAGTCAGGATTTTTGTTAATATCACTGTGGGTTTGTGCCGATCAATAACCGTGAGAAGGAGAACTCATCTACTTATGATTAAAGTAGAATTGCTTCAACATTCACACATTTATAGTAAATTAACATTAGAATAATGTCTCTAAGCACTCCAGTAGCCTCATAGTAATCCTATGAGGAGAATGAGGAAATACCTTTGGATATTACATTTTGTTTATTCTGATGATCTTAAATATGTAACAAGAGAGTTTGACTGGCAGTTAAATACACTGTAAACATGGACTGTCTTCCTCCCAATGAAGAGCTTTCATTTTTAAATAATATTAGCTTTAGGTGAGCATTTAGTCTTTCAGAGTTTTTCCCTTCAAAATATCACATAAGTGCCATTGAGAAGTAATGAAACTAACACTTAAACATTAACTGGAAATGCAGAATTGAAACCAATTATGGTCCTTCAGTGAGTGAAATGAGCATCGATTGCAGTAGGACTTTTTAATGATACTTGATTTAATGATTTCATTTTTCATGCATCATTTTAGATTAGTGCTACTCAGATTAACTGTTTGATGTGAGGTAATATTTAGCGTTATTTATGTGACCGTGGTGTGTTTTCCTATTATCCCAGGTGCTCTGTTAGGGGGAGACTTGGGGAACTCTAATGGAGCGTGCCCGAGTCCAGTCCGTAAGTAAATGTTTTCTTTTATCTTTTTACCTTTCTTCCCAGTTTTGGTACAAAGATGCGCGCGCGCACGCGCGCACGCGCGCGCACACACACACACACACACACACACACACACACACACACACACACACACACACACACACACACACACACACACACACACACACCTCTTTGCTTTCTGTATTTTGGCTGGACTCTTTAAAGAGACATGGTTTCTGAAACTGACGTAGAGACAGAGCAATGCAGAATATTTTGTGTGGCAGCAGGCTCACACAACTCGGACGCCAACTCAAACAGCCACACACACGCACACACACGAACTCACAAATGCAAGCACAAGCATGAAACACCTGTTGACTGGCGACAGCTGAGGGTCACAGTACAAGCTGCTTGTCAACAGTCCAAAGAACAGAATGGGTTTCAGGTTGTGAGGGAGAAAGGCAAGCAGAGACTTTAAAAAGAGGAAAAGAAACTGTCGATGTTACAGAATAACTTCTGTGAAGCTTCTCAGCTGTTTTTTAAATTCAAATCTTCGGCAATATTAGAAAGCCAGTCTGGGGTCTACCGGCTTTAATGTGACACATGAATCTCAAAGTGAGTTCGAAATTTCATTTTTAGTGCCAGTTTAATGAATTATGAAAATTGAGCCGAGTACTAATAAATGTATTTGAAGCAAACTGTAAGTTCAGGTTTACTCAGATTCATGATTTCTATGGCAGCTTAAATTGTGGTGCAACTCAAGGTATTGAATACAAAAGATTGAATCCACTACTGAATATGTTGTCATTGTTATTATTATTATTATGACAGTCATTCACTTTTAATTGGCAGCTTTGATATTTAAAAAAAAAAAGAAATGTAAAACACCCGATAGCATGTTAAAATACTCAAATTATGATACTGTTAATGAGTTTTTAATTGAATTAAATTTTTCCACTATTTTTTATGTACTGAATGTGATGCTTTTTCTTGTCGATATTATTTTGCTGTGGGTAAACTGTCCTTTTTAAAAGGTGGTGTGAGCTATGCTAATCGCACTAAAGTGCCGTGTTGTTTCACTTCATTTATTCAGCCTGACATTGTGCTGATGTCACCTGGTGAGGGTGATAAGGGTCTTATTTCTACTTTATTTTGACCCAAACGATCAATAGTCAGTCTCACTAATTTTGGTTTCATCATCGTGAGTACTGTGGTACATTGAGAAGAGAGTTTAGAGATTTATGTCCCTCTAAACATAACACAAGTGTCATTGAAAATGGGCGAAACTGCCACTTGGATATTGATTGGCAATGCTAAGCGACACCAATTATGGCCACTTAATGCTGCATCCTGATTGGTGGACAGAGGCTGCGTGTATACGGGCATCTTCTGTTTTGTTATTGACCCTTCAGTGCATCAGAGGATCACAGTGAAAGAAATGAACAACAACATATACTGACCAGCTCTCTCTGTCAGCTCCGTTTCCTGTTTAGTATCTAACGTAGACATCATCAGTCACTGTTTCTTTTGTGACGCACTTACACCCACAGACTTCATATGCCAAACTGCATGCCACTTTAAATTGTGCGGGTTAGTCCAGTGAAGTTCAGTAGGAGTCCCTCGGCATCTGGCAAAAATGCTTTGTTGATCTTGTCACTGGCGTGAGACGGTAACCAAGGAAATGAAGCAAATCAAACCAAAACAAAGCTAAAGTTTATCAAATTTAAAAAAAATTAAAACAATGATTGTGCCATGCATCACTTCTCTTTGTTTTTGTTCTTTCTAATATTAGAAATCAACAATAAAAGTATAGCCACTGTTTTAAAATAGTATTTGTCACATACGGACACAAGCAAAGTGTCAGAACGTGATTAGCTGGGAGCTAGAGTGTAATAACTTAAGCACTAGCCAGTTTAACAGTCGTTGTCAATGAAGCTCTTTCCATCCATGCAAAACTAAGACTCTTATCATTTAGGATCATTTCTTGTCGTCTTCTTAATATAAAAGTGGAATCGGACGTCTGCTCAGCATTTGTACTGTATATTAATCCTGACCTACAAAGCTTTGATTGATTGATTGTTTCTCCAACCAAGGGAAACAGACTCCAGTGATCACAAGACCAGATCTGTTTTAATCACTGAACAAATCGTAGGAGTGATTCAATGGTCTGTAATGAGGCAAGCTTAAAAAAAATGAACAACCACTCAAATCTTGTTCTGGAAATCTGAAAAATAGGATTAATGGCGTCCACCCCGCACCTTTCCAACGTCATCTGGCGCTGAAAAGAGCAGCCTGTTTAACTCCCCTCACTTAAACCACTTCCCGTGCTTACCCACCACCCCTCACCCGCAATTCAACCCTCTAGCTGCACTGCTTCCCTCCCCCCCTTTTCATGCTGTCTCTCTCAGCTGTTCCCCCTCATCTTCTCTCTAGAATAATCTACCACCCCACCCCGCTCACCACCACCTTCAGCACCTCCCCACCCCCCGATCCAACTGTCCCCTGTCTTGGCAAAGGACTCTCCTCAGAGGTGACTTTGACACTAGCCAGAGCTCTCCCCTTAAATCCCATTAGCTGGGAAAGATACTGCCAGCAAACCCATAGTAATAGATATGGTGGAAAGGTGTGGAGCTTTTTTCCTGTCTATATTCACTTGATAAACGCATTGTCTCAGGGTAAGGTGGGCCAAAATGAATCAATGCATTTATATTAACTTCCCTGCACTGTATGAGAGGAATACTCGAAAGCCAAGGCTCAATATTGATATTAGTTTTTCAAAGCTATTAATGAAAGTGTGGAGACCTTTCTTTTTTTACCAAGTGTTGCTAAAAGCAAGTCATCATTCAATAAATAAGCATTTAAAGTCATGTCCTGACTAATAATGCTGTAAATTGGACTTGTTATTGAAGATCAAAGAGCTGTTTTTAACAGTATTTCAGAAATGAGTCATTGTTAACTTTATTAAACTCTTCACACATTGTATTTTTCTTGTAAGAATAAGCCTTTGTTTAGTTGTCAATGGCTGTGCTGAGTTGACCCTCAGAAGGTAGGTGGATATCTGTGTTTCGATTTGGATGAATGTGACCACGAGGACTTCTGTAAACACATCACGACTCCTTCGTGTGTCGAAATATGAAACCTCGTTGTACCAGAACTCATCTAAGGTTACCTGATCCACCCGGATGGCTGCTCCACTCCGTCCTCCCATCTCACTCCTTCATCTCATTAATCACTCTCTGCCTGCTCCTTCTTCTTTTTTTTATTCATCTTTTGTGTCTCCCATTACCATCCTGACAGTGTTACCTATTTTTTTCCCTCCCTTCTTCCAGATCTTTTGTTTCCTCTTTCACTTTATGGCTGCTCTCCTCATCCCAGTTTTTCTGTCTTCTTTCTATACCTAGGAGTCTTATTTTTTGCTTACTTTCTTACTTTTTTGTACAACCCACTCTTTTCAAGTTCCTCACTTCTTCAGATTTTTCTCCCATCTTCTTCTTTTCTCTGCTTTACTCCTTTTATCTCTTCTTCTCCATTCTCTTCTTCTCTCCTCCCTTCTTCCCCTCTTTTTTTTTTTCCTCTTCCCCTCCCCTCCTCTTGAATCTGTCATTCTCAGCTGTTGTCCAGGGAGTCAGTGCTACGGGAATGTCACCATTGACGTCACCCAGCATTCCACACATTCCCACGCCCAGCCTCGCGTAATAAGAGACATCACACACACACTGACGGTAGTCACACATGTTCACCCGGACACTGACAAGAACACATGTAAAGTATATGGAAAAGTGCATTCGAACAGTCAACGTACACAAATAAAGCCACAGATGTCTCAGAGCGGTTCTGTGACTCATGCTCAGAATAGGACTTATATTCATGTGAGCTTCTGGATGCTCAGTGTAAACAATAAATATAAACACACGAAGTATTAAAATACAGTCACTTCACGACTCGGCACGAAAACACGGGGTCCACAACTCAATAAGCGTATGCTATTTTTAACTGCTTGGAATAAAAAACAAAAACAAATCTGCAAGTTTGAACTCTTCTGTTAAGTCTAACATTTTTCTTGTAGTTCTTTTTAGGAAAACATAAAAATTATTTAGTTTCTGTTTGTTATTATATTAGAATGTAAAAGAGATACTGAGAGGGTAGAAAACAAGCAAGCATGGAATTAAAACAAAGACCAGAGATAAACACAAAAGAATTTCTTTTCTGTTATTCAAAATTCACATTTCTTTGTAAGTAGGGCAGTTTTTTCCTCTAAAAATGTGTATGTTTGTTTTTTGCCTTACCTTAGTTGTAGGTTTTTATCTTTTTTTTCATTTTTCCATTTTCATTTGTGCCCTCGATTCAAATGCATTCTGTGGGCAAGGCAGAAAGCTCCAGACCTCAGCAGATCAAGACAAATTTCTATTTGTTACTAGATACAGCTAGAAATATGGGATTATACATCCTTTACTTCTTCGGTTGATTTTCACAGTTACGTGTAAAGCTAAGTTGTTTTGTGTTGCTGGTTATGTTAGAAAATAAGTCAGATTTATTTGTATTGTAGATTTCAGATTTTTAAAAGTACATTTTGAAGGTCAGGGCCAACCTCCAAAGCTGAAAAGTGAAGGCAAGAGGACGTGGCAAAAACTGACATTTCTCTTTTGACCACTTGCGGCTAACTCCAAAAGGAAGTCTGCTATAGACTGCTGTGTTAAATTGCCAGACTTTACAACAATTGAAAGCATGCCTATAGCAGATGCTGCATTGTTTTCCCCCTTTATAACAGCTCTGATTGGGGTGGTTTTTTTGTAACTCATCCACTTGAATTAATGAGTTATGGTGTGGCCATGTTGTTTCATAGGCTTCCTAATCAGAATCTGCTCCTCTAATTCATTTAATCCACATAAGGTAAATATGGAAGCTTGTTTCCACCACTAAAAATATATATATTTATATCTATAGTAGAAAATTTTGAATTAATAACTCAAAATTTGGAAATGCCTAACTCCAAATTCCAAGAAAATTGAAAAATTTCACTA